GAGTTAAATTAATGGATTTGTGAACTTAAGTTACAGAAAAACCATGGGTTCCCCATATTCAAAACAAAATAGTCAAAGATCTAAGTCAAACGTGTCAAACTACAGTCCTCATAAGCCAGGGTTCTTGTGCTAACAACTTCTGCAGAGACCTGCTAGTAAACCAGTCACTTGATTCAGGCATGTTAAGCTGGAGGAACGTGTGAAATCATGCAGGACACCGGACGACTGGGAACTGGATTTGGACCATTCGGATGTAGGTGGATGAGAACTTACGTGGTGAGGTCCCACAGGCGCAGGGTCCCGTCCCAGGCTCCTGAGAGAGCAAACTGGCCATCTGAGGAGATGACAACATCACTCACGAAGTGAGAGTGACCCCTCAGGGAGCGCTGGGGGATGCCATAGTTGGTCTCATCACGGGTCAGTTTCCACATGATGATAGACTTGTCTGGGAAACAACACAAACACATGGGATTCTTCACTCATGGGTGATCTCTCAATACCTGAACACATTTGCCGAGTTAGCATGGCTTACTAGCTCTTACGGGGCCGGCAACATGAAATGCCGTAAGATACATTTATTCAACATATATGTTGAGGTTATATGCATGTAGGCATATTCGGTCTGTTGAAGTCATAGTAAAAGTACTAAAAAGATCATTTACGTTGTTCAATAGATGACGCCACATAGCATATGCTAACCAACATGGAACCTCAACTCTCCTTCATTTGAAAAATACCGAGTGTTAACAGAGATTAAATCTTTACAATGCTGTTTTCACTGTTCACTTGTCACATGTAATTCTCTCCGTCTTCATACTGTTTTATCAAGCATTAGTTAAATGTGTTGCTAACTGCACAATGCTAGCTGTAGCCATGTTGGCGGAGCCGGCGGGGGAAGCCTCACCTCGGGACGCCGACAGAATCATGTCGGGGTACTGGGGCGTAGTGGCGATCTGGGTGACCCATCCACTGTGGCCCTTCAGGGTCCCCCTCACTGTCATCTGCTCGGTCATTTTGGCGAGGTTTGATGGTGCCTATCACAAGGATGGATTCGGATTCTTGACAGGTTCGGGCAAACCTAAGTCCTCATCGCATCTAGGCACGGAGGAAAAGGAAGAACGTACCCGGATGCAAACGCTATCAGGGGGTGAGAGCTCTGCAAAGGACTCTGGGATATGTTGTCTTTGCTCGTTTTGAAGTTGAATAAAAGGGACAGTTAAGACGAGGTTCTGAACACAATTTTACTTTTTTTTTATTTTAATTTTAATTTTTACTTCAAACGCGGAGAAGCAGTATTCAGTTTTTATACACCAAAAATCTGGGTAAAACTTCCATAAAACTGCAAAGATGCTTAAACACTGAATTCCTTTAAATCAAGGATAAACCCCCACCTGTTTAGAGTTACCTTTTATTCATAATAACTGGAACATTAATCAATATATTTTATGTATATTTGCTTGATGACTTTGATGATAGCCTTTGATAAAATGTAATGTTTATTGATTGTTTCGTCATTGGTTAGTGTATATGTTTATATGATGGAAATCACTTTGAAATGCCTTTGTTGACTTAAAAGATTTCAGTTAGGGGCATCATTATTAAGTGTTTTTTTATTTTATTTTTAGAAAATGAAAGAATCTGAAACATTCTGCAGTATTGCATGATGCTAATAACTGAACAGAAACAGCACAGAAATTTTTTTTTTGCTCCATACTTGACTCCTCTTGCTCTCACAGCTTTTATAGCTGTGAGAGCAAGCCATAAAAGCTACAGATCCTATTACTCATCTGCATCAACACTTTTAAAGTTCCACTTAACACACATTTCAAATATCTTAGATTAATACAACTGCACAAATCCTCACGTTTAATACTTTGTACCCTCTCATTTTTATTTTTTACTTTTTTTGCAAATCTGCAACATAGTATCGTAGCAAGTTCGGTCACCTCAATCATCACATTACTTTTCATGTTCGTTCACAGTCTGTCACAGTCTTCTGTTATCTTGTTTAATTTACTATTTCTTTTCTTTAAAACTTACAAAAACAGAACCATATTGGGTGCCGTTTGTAGCTACGTAATAATAAACAACAGTATTGTGTTACATTCACCAACTTTCATTCTTGTCCTGCACCCTTTAGCATCTATGTCTCAGAATCTGTGAGATTTCTCAGATTAAAAGATGATTTAGTTCAGTCCAGTGTCACCTGAAGGCATTTTAAATAGGAGTACATGTTAAGAGGTCCTTATATATATTCCCTGTTTAAAGCAGAAAGGAATCCATTGTTTAAAAGAAGTCCAATTTGATATTTGTCCCAAGAGGTAGGGGACACAAAAAACATGTGGAAGATGGTGCTCTGGTAAGATGAGACTGAAATTTATCTTCTTGACTGAAATAAAAACCTAAATATGTGGTGGAAAACTAACACTACAACTCACCCTAAACACCACTGGGAGACATATTGATGGCAGCATCACTCTGGGGAGGCTTTCGTTCAAAACGGTAACAATAATGCAGCGTCATTTCGGAAGAAAACCTGTTCCAGGTGTACACTGGATTTATTTACGTGGACTAAATGGGTGCTGAATGCAAACACACACCAAATCTTTCAGATTTTTATTTGTAACCATGTGTAATTTTCACTCCATTTCACAAATAAGTGTTAAATGTGTAGGTCTATCAAATAAAATCTCAATAAATGACCCAGTATTTTGTGGTTCTGATGTGTCTATATATATATATATATATATATATATATATATATATATATATATATATATACATAAAGGTTTCCTTGATTTTGCATCATTTATTTTGTTATTAAATGTGAAAAGTGTTTCTTGTTGCTATGTTTCTGAATAAATGACAAAACAATCGTAAAACTTGAGTTTATTTTTGTCTACATGTTGGACTGACCATAGGTTGTTTTTATATATATAACTGGACAAGTAATTACAAAACAGCTGAAATCTTTTACAACCAAAATGCACAACCAAGCAACAATGCTCACAAAGTCAAGGTAACACTGTAGGGTAAGATTGGATAAAATATAAAACTTTAATCACAAATCAACTTCATTATACCAAGAAAATAGTGCTGAAAGAATCTGTGAAAGCAAAAAACACAAAGCAGATAACCACCAGCTTATCATGGCATAACATAAAATAATGTTTTTTTTTGTTTTGTTTTTTTTATTGACTGAAGTTTGAGTACTTGAATAAAGAAAAACGGGAAGACTTCTCTTTCTTGAGTAGTTTTTCAGATCTGATTTTGTTCAAATTAAGATGTATAAACGTGATGCTTCCAGTCAAAAATCTGAACAGACTGACATGATAAACACATTCAAGAAACTCTTGAATGAGTAATTATTGCGTACTCTAGCACTACAGATCCTATTACTCATCTGCATCAACACTTAAAGTTCCACTCAACACACATTTCAAATATCTCAGATTAATACAACTGCACAAATGCTCATGTTTAATACTGTGTACCCTCTCATTTATTTATTTATTTATTTATTTATTTATTCTTGGGAAAATCAAATAGGGGCAAAAATGTAACAAAAACACTGCAGCATTTGTATAAATGTGAATGTCCTTAATCAAATAATCTGATTAATCTGAAATACAGTTCAGACGTTCTAGAATTGGTTCTATAAATGAAACTTAATCATTTGCACACTTGACAATTTGTGACGGCCCAATTTTTTTCCATCAAACACACGCACGCACGCACGCACGCACACACACACACACATACACACACACACACACACACACACACATACACACACACACACACACACACAAAAGACATTTTAATAGGCGTGAGTACAACTTTTAAATCCACTCAAACATTTCCACTTCCAAATAAACCTGAACCAATTCAGGGAACTCTCCTTAAAACTGTAGTAACATTGAAATAGACATATGTTTAAGTGTTAGAATGCTGCGTGTAGTATAATGTAAAATGAAGGCAAAACATCAAATAACATATATCAATGTACACAAAACTCAACTAATGTATATTTGTGTGTTCTGTCCACATTCTGATTATATTTCCAATATGTTTCCAAACATATCAACATATTTCATGATGTACACGTACAAGGCAGAACAAGCACGACTTTAACAGGTTGTTGAAAAGTCTGCAGGTGTGTGTTTTAAAAGACAGCTGACCAGTGGCGTTTTTTTAAATCGGTCATATTGGTAGTTACCCAGGGAGACATTAGAAAGGGGTGGCATAAGCACCTGTTTTCTGTTGGTTGAGGATTACATAACTTTTTTGTTTTTATATATGTACTGTCAATGAAGAGTTCTCACACCCTACCTGTTGCTGAAAGTAGGAGTATGCTTTGTGCAGGATTGTATTTTATCCAGAAAAGGAATTTTAATTTCCTTGATTTTGATTGGTTTGAGGTGGAAGGGGGGGGGGGGGCTTGCCCTGGGGGCCATGCATTCAAAAAACACCACTGTTCATGATAAAGATTTGCAAAAAAAAAAAAGTACTGAAGCACCAAGAAATGAGTCCGTCTGAGAAAGATTTGTTGTCACACAAAACGAATGTCACCTGATAACAAAGATAGTTTTTGTTGCAAATTAAAAAATCCATACAGCAAAAAAACAACAACAACAACAACTCTGGGACATATATCGCTGAGAGAAAGTCAAAGTTGAGACCAGTGAAGAATTATTATATGTGTAATTGTTTCAAATGACATTATTAAGTACTGGTTCTTAAATTCAAAGCTAAAGTTGATTCACACACACACACACACACACACACACACACACACATACATATATATATATATATATATATATATATATATATATATATATATATATATATATATATATATAAACACATTTAAGTCAGCAGCAAAAAACTTCTACTGTTGTCCAAAATACTGTAAGTAACAATCTTCGATGATTCAAACTGCATCAGCTGAGGACGCTTATTTCCCACGGCAACACTGATTGATCCAAAATACTGCAAATGGTTCCTTCATATTTTACTCGGTAATCAAACCAATACACAGGAATGCAAACTGTAACTGGAGAAACATAAAAACAATATGCAAAACTAATACAACACACAAAATGTAAGCTTTACATTAGTTGACTTAATGGTATTTTGAAGGGATCTTATATGTAAATAATGCTTACTGCAAACAAAAATGAATATTCTGTCGTGTCAGGGTTTGACTGGAAGTCCCACATGCTGTCAGAGTGCTAAACAACACTGCCATGCACTAATATTTTACAACAATCTCAAACGACATATTATTATAACAGACTATCTGCACAGTAATTCCCTTCCTTATGTGCCAGGGACGTCAGTGACTCCCAGAAAACTTCCACTGGTTATCAAGCTACCGCGCAACATCATCAGCAACAGGTTTCTTTCCCATCAGAGGTGAATGTGGAAATGCAGAGTTCTGTCGCCCCCTCCTGGAGAGTCTCTGTAATGCAAGATCTGAGTGTGACGCAGAGGCATCAGATATGAAGCTCTTCTTCAGTAAAAGCCCTTTTGCTTCACTCTCTCTGCCCATTTGTGTGTCCTCTCCCCGCCGGGGCTCCATTTGTCTCAGGGCTGAGAGAGACGCTTACGTTTGAGCTTCTGCCTCGCCATTTCCTCCTTGTAGAAAACACACACAGAGAGAGGACAAGAGAGCACTGACTCCAAACTCCTCCGTAAAAAAAAAAAAAAAATCCCATCCCTTCGAACATCCATCCATCCATCGGTGAGATCTGGATGAGTGCACACACCGTCATACAGCCGCTATGCCACTTGTGGTTACCACACGTCAGTCACACTCTGTTAGCGAGGCACTCTTCTACTCCAACACTGACATTTGGACTGTCCTTCAAGCTAAAAGTCCCACTGCCAGTTCATGGCTGCTTTCGCACTGCATTGTGAGTTTTACAAAAAGGCTAAAAAGGTCCTTGTTCTTTATCTTTCAATATATTATATAATAGGATTTTATTTTATTTTTTAAAAAGGGAGGAAAAAAAGGCTGTTGGGGTAGTAACACTGCTGCAAAATATACCATATCAATATGTACAGGTCCCATGCTGCTGGTTAGTCATCACTGCAAAAACAAACAAAAAAAAAACACAAAAAATAGCAAAGACTGATTAGTTTGCACAAAAATTAAGCAAGGTTTGCATGCGTTATCATTATTATAAACTCAAAAGCATGGACTGATATACTTACAAATAGTCTCTGTGTTAAATTAGAGTCAGTATGTGTAAAATCAGTTGAAAAGTCATCTGTGTATACTTTGACTGTGCTCCCTACTCCCTAACTGCACCTTTAACGAGCTCAAAGGTGACGACTACTCAGAACTGCATAAATTACTAAAAATGAAAATTCAAACGCTCACCTTATGCAAACAGCCTGGTATTGGAAGCCCGTCATGTCCCTGCAGGCCAGACCAGAGGTGGACAGTTAACGTTTGCAACTCAGCGGTTTTTTAACCTTAAGTGGACTGAGGTCAAAATAACACTTTATTTTGGTAAATATTAGAGTTTAAAGCACCTTTCACAGTTCCTGGTAAAAATGTGTAAAAAGCCCTAAAATAAATTGATTTTTTAGTGCAGAAACATAACATCGCATTTAAAATATAGAAAAATTCAGCATTTGCTTTTGATACATTTTTGAAAACAATTCCATGTTCAAAAATAATTTCTTTCTTAAAGAATCATTAAATCAATAATATATATAATTGATATTTTTGTAATGTCAACTATCTTTTTAAGTTCAGACAAGGAATGTTTAATGAATAATTCATCTTCTCGTTATCCTCAGTTATAGATATGACATCAGAAAGTCCCAAATCTTTTAGCAGCTGTCAGGCTTTAACCTCAACATATAGTCAGTGCATATTGCAACCATAACTATTTACTGTCTGAGAATAGATAAGGATATGGTGGTATAGGACTATATGCCATAGTTTGACTAAAGGAAAAAAAAAAAGCAAAAATAATAAATAAAACAAGACATGATAGATGAGAAGCAAGTGAAAATAAAGAGATAGAGTAAAGAGGGAAAGATACTGTACCACAGGACAGGGGGCCTCAGGGCCAGAAGGAGGAAGAGGAGCAGGAGAAGAAAGCCCTGCCTTCACAGAGTGACCTTTACTCTCATCACAGCCCTGTGAGAGGACGTCAGTTACACATTTACAGCCACCAGGAGGAAACTCAGAGAAAATGATAGGAAAAATACTGAGAGCGAAGGAAACACAAAAGGTCTTCAAAGAAGAATAGATGAGATTGAGAGAATATCAGGTATCACAGAGCATGTGTGTGTGTGTGTGTGTGTGTGTGTGTGTGTGTGTGTGTGTGTGTGTGTCCATGATGAGGACATACCACAGGACAGGGCTGGTCCAGTCCTGGAGGACCTTGTTCTCCCTTGTTGCCCTTCAGACCTCTCTTCCCCACCGTCCCTCTGTCACCCTGAGGCATGAAGAAGCCAGAAGTCAGACCCACATAAAGAGAAACAAACTAAGCTGCATAGATTATAAACTGAAATCATAGCACTAATGTAACAAAATATTACATTAGTAACTAAAAAGAATAGAAAAAACTTCAATTTCAGTAAATGTATTGAGTGGGGAGAAACTTTGGGATAGCTTTTCAACAGAAACAACCAATGATAACCCATTTTCTGTTTTTACTTCTGGTTTCTGAGATAGGTTATGATGTGATGATTTATAACGAGGGTCTATTTATCCAGGGTCTTTGAAAGAAAGAAAGAAAAACGAAAAAAAAAAAAAAACCAGGCCCACAGCATCACAGATCCTCCACATACTTAAAAGCTGCAACAAGGTGCTTTTCCACATATCCATCCTTTGTTTGAGGCCAAACCCACCTGGATATTTGTTAAAGAATCTCAACTCGGTTTCATCTGACCAAAGGAAATGCTTCCAGTTAAAATCCCACTAGCATTTAGAAAACTTCCTGGTTTCATTCACATGTGTGATAATGGACCAAGAAATATTTTTCCCAATGTCTTTTTTTTCCACAAAATACTTCAGTTGCCTTTAACGTAAAGGCATTATCAGGACAAGAAATAATTATGTCAGCTGTAATTTAGTTAGAAACAGCTATTTCTCTTTCTGAGGGATTTCTCCTCCTCTCATTAAATGTTCCAAATTTAAAGGTTAGCTACTTTTGTGTTTTTCTAAATGAAACATTTTTATTTATTTATTTTTACTCTTCAACATTGGTCACAAAAATATCTCTGCATCTGTACAACCTAAACTAACCTTGTCTCCTTTTTCTCCTCGTTCACCTTTGTCTCCTCTCAGACCCGGAAAACCCTGAATGAAGAAAAGACGAGACGGTTCGACAGATGTTTAAGTCGAGGTAAAAAAAAAAAAAGAACCATCAACTAAATTCACTTCGACAAACTCACATCTAGTCCCGGCTCCCCCGGTCGGCCCTGCAGACACGCATTTGAAAAATCACACTTGTTATTTATTTATTTTTTTTTAACAGAAATCAAATGAGGTTTATAAAACATACATTGCAGCTTATTATTGATTTACCTTTTCCCCCTTTGCACCTGGAAGGCCCACTAACCCAGGGGCCCCAGGTGGGCCCTGGTGGCCGTCCAGCCCCTGCAGATGAAGGTAAACAATTGGTGCTGCGTGATATAAGCGACTTAGCTGTATGAATATTGGCAAAGAGCGTGACTTACTTTGTATCCAGGAGACCCATGATCCCCTTTCTCTCCCTTGATCCCAGCTCCTGGTTCGCCCTGCGTTGTGATAGCACAGCGGTTAAGATCCCAGCACACACACACACACACACACACACACACACACACACACACACACACACACACACACACACACACACACACACACACACAGGCATCTCAGGCTTACCTTAGGACCGGGCATGCCATGCAGACCCTGGAAAAAACACATCACACAATGTCAGCGTCCGTGCCTGCAGGAGTCCAGGTGATGTGGGATGTAAATACTCACCATGGATCCTGGGGACCCGGGAATTCCTGGAGGGCCCGGAGGACCGGGAGGGCCCGGCTGAGAGATCATCTGAATCTGGTGAGGAGAAAAGTGAGAAAAAGGATGGAGGGATTGTTAACGTTTACATCAAGAGCAAGATGTGATTCGAGTTTTTGAGACGTAGCTCTGATGTAACAGCATTTTTGTTTCTACGGCAAAAAAAAACCCCAAAAAGCTGATGAGGAGATGAGGTGGTGCTAAAAACAGGATGAGCCTTGGAAAAAAAAAAAAACAACTGTTAGAGGCTTCAAATGATTGATCTTAGGGCATTCAAGTGTTTGAATGGCCCAGTTCAGACTGAATCTAAATGAGCATCCATGAAAAGCCTTAAAATTCGCTGCTTGCAGACGCTCTCCATCCAGTCTGACTGTGCTTGAGATTTTTTGGAAAGAAGAACGGAAAAAGTGTTGAGATGATTTGTTTGGGCAGCACACTAATTTATGTCTGTTTTCTTTCCTTCTTTCTTTCTTTCTTTCTTTCTTTCTTTCTTTCTTTCTTTCTTTCTTTCTTTCTTTCTTTCTTTCTTTCTTTCTGTCTTTCTTTTTTTTACTGAAACATACTTTTAAAACTATTTTCCCTCCCACTTTAAAAATGTTCACTACTTTGTGTTGGTCTATCAAATAACATAAAATATACTGAGGATCAGGGGACACAAAGTGACAAAATGTGGGGGGGCGACGGGGGAAATCAGCAGGTCTTAATGTTTTTGAGACTGTTTAAGGTGTTTAAACTCAATGTTATTTTTAAACCTAACTAGAATATATAAAGCAATAAAAAAATAATTGCTTGAAACTATTAGTTGAATTCACGTCTGTGGTAATTTGACTGAAACGTCAGCGCGTTCATGTGTGCGTTAAAAACTAACCAGGTTGTCATCCAGCCGGCAGTCTCCTTTTTCCCCCTTCTGTCCGTCCATCCCCTGATCCACACAGAGGCAACGGTTATTTTCACTGTTCACCATTTGAAACCTTTCTTGAGAAAAACAAAAAAGCTTGTTTCTGTCACGACTTACAGAAGGTCCAGACAGACCCATCTCTCCTTTCTCTCCTCTCTCACCAGGAGGTCCCGTTTCACCCAAATCACCTCTGGATCCCTGAAAGGTCGTGACACCGAAACAGAATTCCACTTTAAATATCTTAACTTCAGTGAAGATGTTACGCTGACTCTAAAAACTTAGATAATTCTCGAAAAACATCCAGTCCGCATGTGTGTATAGTTTGTACCTTTTCTCCATCTACCCCTGCAGGCCCAGGCAATCCAAGCTCTCCCTAATTTAGGTAAAAAAAAAAAAAAAGGAGAGACACAAACGTTGGTTATTTGGTGAACTTAAGGGGAGCTTATCGATGCATAAATGTTTAAAGTAGATCTTAAAAAGCGCTCAGATCCCTAACCCTAAAATACTTTTTTAGGTTTGGTGCAATTCCACTGGAAAAACAAACATGAAGTGCATAATTGTGCGCACTCCCAAAATAATATTTTTTGACAGAGCTCCTTTGGCTTTAATTTCATCATTCATAAAGCTTTGCTAGGACTCTTTCAGCATCCCACGTCTTGACTTGGGGATATTTATCAGAATCTCTCAGACATCCTTCAGGTGACTCATTTTAACACAGATGCAGCCACTTTTCAGAGCAGAATACTGATATATTAATATTATAACATATGAGGATTTCATCTTGACTTACCTTTTCCCCTGCAGGGCCAGGAGGTCCTGGTGGTCCAGGTGGGCCCTTGAGACAGACAGACAGACAGACAGACAGACAGACAGACAGACAGACAGACAGAGGGGATGTGTTTAATTTTTACTTCACATTAATCAAGTTTAAAGTTGCAACAACCTTTTTTTTTTGCTGCATTCAAACAAGTGGAGAGAATGCAGCCGAGCTTCTGTAGAGACAATGCTAACATCCTGTGACCCTGTTAGTAAATAGCAGTCTTTAAACTGTCTTACTGAAAAATGTTAAGTGACTAAGTTGGTAGGACAATGATGTTTTGTGCTGACAACAGCAGTCTCTTAATATGTTAAGGTCAAAAGCCTCCTGGACAAGACGGAGGTCAATGAAGAGTTGGAAATGTGGCAATAAAAAAAGCCTCTTTCTCTCTCTCTCTCTCTCTGTATATATATATATATATATATATATATATATATATATATGAAAAATATGTATATGTTTGCTCCTTATTACTTTCCTTGTAAATAGGGGAGTAAACAAATCCTCTGCTGATTGCGAACAACTTGAAGCCATTTCATCCAGCAGCGATTGTAAAACACAACAAGCTGGCATCATTTTTCATGCTGTTGATTGTTTTGCTGGAAACTGAGGCAAAAGGCAGGGGAAGCCAAGCATCCATTGGACTTTATGTAACGCTGGATAAGAATTAGCACGCACATGATTGCCACATTCTCTCAGTGTTGTCTGCTGCGTGTAGCAGGCCTCTTTAATCACGCTCCCTTAATCTCTGCGTCTGCAGTCGTACACTTGTTACTCCATCCTCTGAAGGCTTCGGCCATCTTGAAGTAATAGGAGTTATAATAATAATAAAAAAAAACATGCTGCGTCTCAGATCTGTGTTACTCCTTTTCCTCTGTTGACTCCGCGAAAGCGGTGAAATCCTGGGAAACCAGAGATGTTTACGCGACACCATTTGATCTGCAGTATTTCATCAGAGGTTACTGAGCTCTACTCAGGCAACCAATCATATAAAGAGCTGCAGAATGAGGACCAGAGACTAACCAATAACATTATGGCATTACTTTACACCAAATTCATCAGCGCAGATGAAACGCGAGAACCCGCTCCTCACACAAACAAAGTGAATGGATCAAATGCAACATGGGTGGCCGACCAGTGAATTATGAGCATTCAGAGGGTCCGCCAGAGGCCCAGTGAGCAGACTTTGTGTGCAGACTGAACCTCTTTGACGAGAGGTTTCTGATAAGATCTTCATTTCGTGTTTCTACCATCTGTTTTGAAGCTATCTGAGGATGCTGGGCTGTGACTTGGTTTGAGATCAGGACCCAAAGGGAATTGGCTCGTGCAAGCTTTTAATCAAATGCAAACACCACAGTGCAGATAGCCATCTTTCAGTAGCATGTATTCCCCGGTACGAGGCAGGATGGAGATCAAGTGGATGTGGGCAGAGCTGTGACTGTAATGAGTGTGGAGTTGCCCTTCCTACTGTTAATCAAAATTTCCTGCTCTTGTCAGGAAGAGTTTACGCAGAGCACTGTTTTTTTTATGACCTATGTATTTCATTCATATTTTTAATGTGATAAACCAACATGAAATAGTTGGAAGGGAAAAAAGAACTTGCTTTTCAATTATTATTTTTTTTATTATTATTTTTTTTTACAAATAAAAATCTGAAAAGTGTGTGTGTGTTTGAATTTATATTTCATCATCTTAACTCTCATCGCCCTAAATACGATTTAATACAAGCAACTAAAGTTTCCTGCTTGGAAGGTAAAATTAACTTGTGTACACTTTAGTATCAACATGCATCCAGCCGGTGTCTGAAGGTTTGGGAAATTCCCATTAGTGAACACGAAGCATCAAGAAGACCAAGGACCAGGGAGAAAGTTAAAAAAAACAACACTGCAGATCACTGAAACACAGCGGCGGCGGCGTCATGCTGTGGGGAGGCTGTCTCTAACTGCTTACTTTGTGTCATTAGCATGAAATAAACAGAAGAAGAAGAACGTGTAATGGTCACATGAGACCAAAATTACACATGTTTTTGCCTAGAGATAGTTTAGTGTCTCTACAAACACAAACAATTCCACACCATCTGCAGGAAGAAACACGGCAGTGGAAGTGCCATGCTGTGGGCCTGTTTCCTTTAGCAGGAACAGGTAATCTGGTTAGAGGGCTTAAACGACTTGAGACAGGTGTGTCACTTTCACGGCACAAAGATAAACACAAAGCAAGAAAAGGCAAGAAATGAAAAGAGACGTTCATAAACGCTTTGAGTCTGGTCAGAAGTATTTAGGGGAAAAAAAAAAGCACAGATTTCAGCTTCTCGATTTCAAAAGCCGATCGATAGATTCACGCTGTAATTGCAGCGCAAGGTGTTTCCATTTATACGCCATACTGACTCAGTGGGGCCAAACACAGATTTTTACGTATAAAAATAAAAAAAGAGAAAAACTAATTTCGTCTCTTATGTATCCTTTTACTTCACAGCTGCAGACAACACTGTTGATCTGTAGCATAGTGAAACACATAAAGCTTGCGGTTGCAACAAGACAAGAAGTTCAGCGAATGTGAAGACGCATGAAAAGCGCCGCATGGGAAAATGCCAGTACCAGAGAAAGCACGCCATGCTGCCCGCCAGTAACATTCACACAACTCAAAACGCTGAGGCGAGCCCTGCGGACCGTTCCGCACGGTTACACGAATGCCTTCGGGCTACACGTTATCTGATGAAACAACACAGCTGCGATGCATCAACTGTGGCTGCGCGTTGCATCCCAGACGAGGACGGAAAGCACCAGAACGCAACAGACCCCGGCGTTCAGAGAGTCTCTTCAGATGTGACATCTAATACATCTGATGTCGCAAAAATCTGGACACAATATACACACAGAGACGACTGTTGAGGCAGGTGTGGTGCGAGGGGAGGGGGGGTGGGGGGGGAACGCACAAGGTCTGTGCCAATGCAGGCACGTAGAGTGGTGTTAGTGACTCGTCACGCCACCAAAAACCATGCAGCAACAGCAGCGGATTACCGAAACGCTGATGGTTTTGATGGCCTGTCAAGAAGAGACAGCAAGGCGGTTCACTTTAGAGGTCTCTGGCTGAAATACTCAAGATTTATTTCCTACTACAAAGGCTTTCGAGTAAGCTTAGGTTTCCCTGAGCCCTATTGTGGGATTCGGTGCTAAGTTTACAAGATTAAACTCACCTGGAAGGCATCTAGGAGCTTCCCGTTGAAATCGACAATATCTGAGGAGCCGGCAGAGCCCTTTTCACCGGGATAGCCCTGCAGCAGGGGTTTGAAACGATAAATGCATATCATTTACATACCTGGCAACAAAAACAGAGTAAATATTGCGGATTTATGTTGTAAATGAAAACACACCATGGGTCCCTGTGGTCCTTGTTCTCCCGCTTCTCCTTTATCGCCCTGTGTGGGGAGCAAAGGTCACGTCAAGTGACATATCATGCATCATAACTGTGACTGTAAGCTTTGCCGTAAAACCACTTCAGATTAATTTTACCTTTAATCCTGGGACTCCATCCATGCCTCTCTCTCCTTTCTCTCCCATACCTGGCTCCCCCTGGGGAATTACAAGAAGAACCATAAGTAATGTGTTAAGAACATTTTAAAAATTGTGAGACTAACTTTGTGAATAGCTAATTATACCCTCTGCCCTGGAGGGCCCTGCACTCCTGGATAGCCAGGCTCTCCATCTTCTCCCTGCCAGTCAGCAGATTTTAATGAATGTAAAGAGTGAAAAGCTTAGCAGCGAAAATAAGTCAGAGGAGTCCAGGTGGGTAACTGATTCTTAAACTTTACCGGTTTCCCAGGCGGTCCCTGCGGTCCCTGAAGTAAAAAACAAAAACAAAAACAAATAAATAAATCAGATACAGAAAAAAAGTGAGTTTTTGGAAACATAAAAAATGATGAACTACTCTCACCTCAACACCATCCCGACCTGGCAAACCCTGAGGAGGAAACAGAGGAAAAACTCCGTGAGGCAAGAAATGAGTTACTGCAAGAGTATGGCCACTAGATGTCAGTGTGGACTAAGGCCTTAAAGGAAGTCCAGCCGTGTCAGAGGTTTATTTGCACTGCTCTTGATTGGAGTAGGATTTAAATGATAATTTATGTTTATAATCCATACAAAATCCTACACACTAGGCTGTAGTAGATAGATACATACAGTCTGTGAATAAGCATTGCTGAATGAGTGATCATGAGTGGCTGCAGCTGGTAGATGCTCTTTACAATAAAAGTCATTTCTTTGACAGCATTCACTAAACTGACCAATAAATCAGGATGATGGAGAAGACAAAAGGACCTGGCAAAGATCCACAAAGGTGAATTCTAGATTTGTGATACTAACTATGTGAATAGTTAACAAAAACAAATTCCTAAAACAAAACTAGTTTGTTTTACGGTCGGAGGAGACACAGGTTCAGCTATATGGGAGGAGGCAATGCTTGGAGTTGTCAAGCTCTGACTTTTTCCAACCTAAAAAGCACCGACTACCAAGCACGGTGATGGCAGCATCATAGTGCGAATCTGGAAAGCAAGCCTTCCATTTCACCTCAAATCAGGAGCAAGGCAATAAAAACTTGGACACAACTCGAAGTTAAAAAAATAAATAAATAAAAAGAAGAAGAAGAAACACATCAAAGCTTATTTTAAAGCAGATAAAGCTGGCTAGTGTAAAGTGTCTGGAACAGTGTTACCACTATCCTCAATTCGAGCCGATTAAACTAATTTCCACCGACTCCGATAAGAAAAGTGGCTAAGCTTCCTGCCTCATTCCTGGCGATAACAGCTTCTTATTGAAACATTCAACCAGGTGTCAGTCAGGGTGTGTGTATATTTCAACTTGTGTGAACGATTTTCGCTGCACTGCTGACTGGTGTTCTGGGTTTGAAATTCCTCACAGCCGTTTGCTGTACAATTGTTGCACTCTTAAAAAAAGTTCAAGCGAATCATTAAAACATCCAGGCCATGATGAGTGCATGCAAATGTTTCACAGAAACTGTCACACACTGTGATAGATTGAAATATCTAGTTTTTCTGGTACTGATAGATAAAAGCAGAGAGATCAGTGACAGTAAAAAGCAAGTAAAGGGATTAAATATGTCAAAAGGAGTAAATCAGTGAACTCTTTGATATGCAGAATAAGGACATTCCTTCCTTCCCATAGTGAAGTGATTGATTGTTTTTGCTAGCTTCTCATACTAACAGTGATTTCTTCATTTGCTCAACCACTCTGCTTTTTAATGCAGGAAAAAAACTCCTTTTTCATTTCCTCTTTAGCAAATACAACGATTGAATTTGAAGCCCCGGAGTCTGCATGCGATGCAATGAGCTGCGGCTCCAAACAACATCAAACACCCACGCTTCATGTCAGTTTTCATGTCTTTCTCCATCTGTCCATCAGCGATTTGGCTCATTTAGTTAAACAGACTTATCGGCTGTTTGCGGGGACCAGGTGGACGGCTAAATGTCTGCTATGAAGTCATCCGTTACAAAGGAAACTTAGAGGAAATCTGCGCTAAAACTCGTTCTCGAAACGAGCCACACACGCACACACTGCAATCAAGGAGTGGTGTTTACTTGATCTCTCAGTGCACTCACATAAATGCATATACATCGGAGGGCATTAACTTTCCATTTAGCTCTCATATTTTACAAAATTTTGCAGGGGCTACTAAGACATTTCCCAGGTGTTTCTCCTCTTCTTGCGCTCTGCCTGCACATACAAACTGTCATCCAGATGCACCGAGCTGCCCTGTGGTCCGGTTCTGTTTCCATCCTCCTGCCGTCTTTTAACCTCTCTTCCCACCCCTCTTACCTCGGCCCCATCGTTTGATCTGCCCCGCACAGCAGCGGGAAACAAATCGCCGTTGCAAATAATTTCTGAACAGCGCTTTTTATCTCGAGTACAGAACTGAGCCCCGGTTCAGATGTCAGATGGATTCTTGATTACGGAGGCCGGAATTTATGTAGGCTTTGAATTAAGCCGCTAGGGCAAATCTCACATTATTCAAATTCGAAAGCTGCGAAATTGATTCCCATATTAAACCGAAACTCCCTTCTAAAGTGTCTTGTTTTTCCACATTTTTCCAGGCAGCTCAGGGATGAGGCTGTGGGGAAGAAGTTTGATGCGAGGTAAGACAATAAAACAATATCAAAAGCAGAGGAGACGCCAAGAGTTTACTCTGCAGGAGCTGCAGAGATCCACAGCTCAGTTGTTAAAGCTGTTGAAAGAAGGGTTTTCTTTTCTTCAGAAGCATAAACAAGTTGTTGTGATTGGATGGGAAGATGTATTGTGCTAATTTCAGAGCAACCCTGGAAGAAAACGTCTTAAGAGGCCATAAAAGACCTGAGACTGAGATGAAGGCCAAATGGAGAATCAGAAGCAGGGCCAAAAAGTATTGAGTGTTTACAAATGATCTATTTGTTACTAATCTAAATGAATATAATTTTTTCTCTTTACAATTTTGTAATAGTTTGGGCTGGCACCAAATTACAGGGTGCAAAATAAATGGGTTTCTACGGATATGGGTACGTTTGCAAGCATCAGGTGTTAAGAGGACACCCATGTCGGCGGGCTTCCTCACTTTCTCCTGCTCACTCCCGCTGAAACATCTGCCGACAACATGGAGCAGCTCTCAGCTCCACTCTGTTTTGCTGTTTTGGGTTTCGCAACGCCTTTAATCAACTTGAAAAGACCATTCGCCATCAACTGGGTTACATGATGGCCCCCTTTTTGTTCGGCCCGCCTGTTTTTGTCACTTTTTGAGCCGAGCCGACTGCTCTCTGCGGTTCGCTTCAGCGTGTGTTCTCAACTCACCCAAGTCAAAACCAACATCTTTCACGTAAAGCCCGTGGCAGTCCAGCACCAGATGAGAGTAACGCGACTATTATTCCTTCAAATAGATAAACAGAAAAAAAAAAACCCCTGAAACTTTCTCCCCTCAGGAACCGCAGCTTGACGCTGCCACGGCGGATCAGTGGAACGCTGTGGGGCACAGACTTAATTCTGAGCAACAGAAAGTGCCTCGGACGAGGAGCCCGCTATTGTTTCCCGCGGCCAGCAAACTGCCCATGAACTCACCGCAGCGCCGTATCTGTTTCAGTGTGCACGGCAACACAGTGGTGGGAGAAAGCGGCGTGTTTTGGAGAACTTTGCGGCTGCTGACTTATGCAAAACAGATGAGGTTTGAAGGAGAGTTGCTATTTTGGGAGGTTTATTTCTTCTTCTAGGTAAACCACAGCTCACAGGCTAATGCAGAAGAATGAGGTTCGGGGTTCAAGTGCTTTTTACAGAGAAGACCCTTACCCCAAGTGACAGACTGACACAGAGCTTGGTGTTTGCGGTGCAACCTTAGTGAGATGTGAGCAGAGTGACTGATGAGCACTCTGCAACGTGGAGTAAAAAGGAGCTTCCTGCACCCTCGGGATGCCCTTACCGGCTCTCCACCAGGCCCATCCTTCCCGGTGTTTCCTGGGGGCCCACGGGCGCCAGGAGGCCCAGGAGGACCGGGAGGTCCGGCGGGTCCAGCTTGGCCTTGATCACCCTGATGAAAGTGACAATCACATAAAAAGAAGAGTGGGTATTAGAGAAACTATGTTTTTGATTCACAGAAAAGTAAAGCACAACTTTCGGTCACACCGAGTCACTTTTATATGCAAGCAAAACAAAGTGTGGAGAATGACGACAAAAACAAATTAGAAATTCACTTTATCTCAGGCAGTAATTTAAAATACTCAGAGGTGCATTTAGCATGTTTGGCCAGGTGGTGGCAGCAGACACAGATCGTCACCTGACAACATGGCTTTAGGTAGGTCAGGTTTTATTCTATAAAATGACACCCATAGCAAAGATGCATGCATGATATGGCCTAAAATAAATTCGACGTGTGTCACAGTAGAATAATCTCACATTGAATAATCTGATTTATCTCCCTAAAATTGAGAATCAAACTTTGTCTGAATGAGTCAGGTTCTTCTTTGAGTCAAACGGATATTTTGTTACACAGCGAAACATCCAGTCTGATCTGATTTATATTTTAGGGTTTATTTTCATATTAAGCTTAAAAGAAACAGTCTTGTTTGTCAAAAAAAAAAAATAATTTGTTTACTGTGTTATTCCAAATAAAAAGCATTTTGACAACCTCATCTGATGCATATTTCCCATTTGTGTTGAGAACGGAAAACCATTAATGTTCCTAAAGTTTCTGAAAATTATAGTGGAGACACTTTCTCTACACCCATCTGGAGCGTTATGGTTTGCTTTGTTCAGGCGAGTCAAGTGGTGATTCAAGTCATGGTAATTGGAGAAATGTATTTTGTCAGTGATTTTGTCTGTTCATTTTGAAGCCGTCCAACAAAACAGAAAGGAAATTAGCTGCAGATCTTTTAGATAAATGTGCATTCTGATAGTTTTTTTTAAGAACTGACAGAGTTTCAGTCAAATTTAGACAATTAAAACTTATTTATTCATCCCAGTTGCTCTAAAAATAAAATAAAAAATCTTTGCTTCACTAATATGGTTAAAGGAAAAAAAAAAGAAGCAAAGAACAGCACAATCAAATTACGACAAAAATCAAACAAACATAAATTTATTACGCGTAACAGAACCAAAAGGAGCAAAAAAGAACAGAAATGATTCAATTAGCGCATGCAAACGAGAGGCGGGTTAAAGAGCTAAAAGAGGAAGCACATGCCTTTTAGTAGAGGTCTACCTTCAGAAAGCGTCTCTGAAAGCTGCTGGACTGCTCTCCAGCGAGAAAGCCGTGATCATATCGGGGGAAAACCATCTGAGGCGCAACAGATGTGCAGTTGAGGATAAGGGAAAAGAGAACGAGAGAGAAGAGAGAAACAGAGATAAATGGGCAGAGAAATTTGGAAATTTGTGTTAAACCGGGAGTCCGGGCGCAAAGGAGAATTAGGCCGCTGCAGGAGAAAACCGAGGAGTCAAACTCCAGCAGACTGCAGAAGAAAAAAGCTGAGAAGAGGAGCGACGCGATCTTCTCTCTGCAGAGACAGTGACAGATGTGCAGCGGGCGGCGAGAGGTGGCTGCTGGGAGGATTATGGAACGTTACAGCGGGAGTAACAAACCTTGACAGCGATCTGATTACTGTGCAGACCTGCGTATGTGCTGTAGGTCGGAGGACCCTGAGGAGAGGAAGTCGCACAGTGAACAACAACTCACAAAGCAGCGCTGGCAATCTTTGACAAGAAACATCGTCCTGCAGATACGACATTCGTGCTCCTTCAGCGTATTCGCAGTTTGATATGCAAAAACAACAAATGTCAGCGTGTGTGAATAGTGCATTTTTTAAAAAGGATTTTTTTTTACACTAAGAAAAAAAAAACAAAAAAAAAACATGCCATGAATGTGCATTGAACCCTCCCGAGTCGAAAACATGTAAAACAAAACGTTTGACAATAATTTGTCCCAGAAAATATCGAGATCAACGATAACATTTTCCTTTTGAAACCTTTTTGAAATAATATATTGATAATGGCAAGATAGTGCAAATTTGCCCTTTCTGAGGCTGAAAATCTTTAATGTTGTACAGAACACTCAACACTGGAACTGGAAGACGTTTCAAATATCCAAAAATAAAACATAACAAATTAAAAGGAAATAAAACACACACACACACCCAACTGAAACCATAAATAAAATGGATTATGAAGTTTCTGCAAACAAAAAAAAATCACTTCAAAAAATATTATCAGAATGAAAATTATTGAGTTCATTTTAATTTATCACGCAATTAATTGATTAGACGTTCTTTAAAAAGTTTTCTTTCAGAATTGCCTTGCGTTTGGCTCATCCTACCATCTAATGAACTCTGACCTGTTAAAAAAGACAAAAAGTGCCTCATAGCATGATGCTGCCACTGCACAGTTTCACCTTGAGGTTGTGACGATCAGAACGATGTTCGGTGTGGGTTTTCCACACCATATCATTTATTTTTTGGTATCGTCTGACCAGAGCACCTTCTTCTGTGTCCCACTCCTTCATAAAGGCCTCCAGCTAATCCAGGGTCATCATGCTTAACTGCTCTTCTGATTCAAGCTCTTCTTGCCAGTCTTTTCAGATCAGATGGACGACCTGGGCTTCGTGGGACATTCAAAGCTCGGGATATTTTTTTTTTTTTTTTATAACCTCACCCTACTTTAAACTTCTTCACAACTTTTTCCTGTGTCCCATGGTCTTTGTGATGCTGTTTCACTAATGTTCTGTGACAGACCTCTCTTTCGCTCTAGGCTTTAATGTAACAGCTGCATTTATACTGAGACTAAATTACACACTGGTGGACTTTAATTACTATCTTCATGACTTCTGAGGGTATTTGGTTACACTGGATTTTATTTAGGGGTATCAAAGTGAACAGGATTAAAATAAAGCAGAAAATAAAATGCAAGTCTTTCCTTCCTCTTCCCATCTACGCACTACTTTGTCTTCATTTATTGCACAATGTCCCTATGAGATTCACTGGACTTTGTGGATGGAATGTGACAGAATGTGAAGAAGCTCCTTTAAAATGCGTTGCATGTGCATTTTATTAGGACGAAACGGTAAAAATCTGCAAACTGCAACCTTTGCCCCTTTGAAATTTATGCCTCAGTCATCCATCCAAGGCTGTATTTCTCGGTGAATGTGTACGTGTGCTCTGTGGAATGGCTTCCCATCTTTCCCAACCCAAACAGAGGTGGCTTGGCTCTTTCCAGTCAACAGACAGTAATTGTGTTGATTGTCTGTCAAGCTGAAAGGAGCAGAGTTTGTCTGCCGCCACAGAGCTTTGAGCCTCCCTGGTTGAGCTCCCGCAAAAACACGAGCGGGGTGCAGGGCGGATGGAGAGACGTGATGAGGAGGTCGGTCTTGGAGAGGGAGAGGGAGGAACAGCGGAGAGCGAGGAGCGGCAAGAAGGAAGGGAAGCCTGCCGGAGAAGTTTCTGCTAACGACGAGCGCCGGACTGCTGAGGTCCCCCCCCCCACCGAGACCACCAAATGCTCCCTCCTCCTCTTCATGCCTATATACTCCTCTTTTCCCCTTTGTCACATTCACTCATTTACACCGCTCCCACCATGAAGACCACATATGCTTCTTTAAACGTCTCATAACAGAGGAGGCTGTTTCACAGCGGGGATCGCCTTTAGCTCATTCCCATCAGAAAAACCAAGAAAAACAGACATCCCCCCCCTCGGAGTCCGGCTTCAAGTTGAATTTTTACTGCTGTTTCAAGGGAGGCAAAGAGAGAATTTTGGCTGTGGATGCTCGCGACTTGTGCTCGACAACAGAAGGGTCAGATGAACCCAAAGGTGCAGCGACAGTGTCTTCTATGAATAAACTGGAAGATATGGATATCTTCAGGCTTCCTTTTGATAAAGGTTTTCTTAGAGATAGAGAAAGATGCGAAAACTGCACATCCTTTTGTATTTTGGTGGTTCTACAACAGCCAATTTGGGCTTAATGCGCCTCGTTTCCTGCGTTTGTGACCAGGGTCTGCCCGATGATAGCTCTGAACATGATGGATCGACAGGAAGTCACAGGTTGACAGAGATTCATGGGCGCTTCCTGTTTTCACATGTATTCCTTCATCCTGAAAAGTTCAGAGGTGAAGCAGAGCTCACTGTCAAAAAAAGGGCAAAGTGATAACTGAGCTTATGCTGGAATAATACTAAAAAGAAAAAAGAAAACTCCCTACGCAGCACAAGCTCTTACTTGCTTTCATATTAGGGTTTATCGATGAAACTCCACATGGAGGAATCACTCACGGCGTTTGTTTTGAGTCGAGCATGTGTTTCCAAGCAATGTCCTGAGGTTTTGGGGAACTGCAGACTTATCCAAAGGCATCAAAGCAAGAGAGGCCTCGGCCAAGAGCAATATTCACCGTTTGGAAAAACTACCAACAGGGAATGCCAAAAATATTTTGAGTTATTGCCTCAGAATCAAAAATGCATAGGTAGGAAAATGTAATGGCCTACGTCCTGATTGAAATCAGGAATTCCTGCAATGTTTCAGAATCGCATCATAAAATATCTTTCCACTGGGCAAGCTTTGCAAATGTCCACTCAGTTTCAGCTCTGCTATAACACAGTAACCACTTTGTGCTTCCAGCGCACTCACTGTGTGTTTTGCTAAATGTTCAAACCTCTTGACCTTCTTCACAATTTGTCACTTTATACAAACTGCCGCGTGTTTTGTTGGAATTTCACGAGCTAAAAGCAACATAAAGTAATGAATGGCTATGAAGAGGAAGGAAAACGGTGCATAAGAATGAGGAACATTGTGGCGTGCGCTTATATTCACCAATTTTTTTCTGCATTTTGAACAAGTTGATTGGGGATAAGTCTCATATTTCCTGTAGCTGCTACAAATTCTCAATTAGATTTAGATCTAGGCTAGGCTATTAATAGAGATTAAGTAAAAATAATGTTATTATCATTAATCATAGCATAAACATGTCGATAAGAAGAACTCTATATTTGAAGTTTGAGTTTTAAAGCAAAGGAAAGACAGCTTCATTGGTCAAGAAGACACCTACTGTGTGTGTTCCCCACACAGACAAGAAACCTTTCTTGCACAGAAACGGCAATCTGATCTATTTTTCCTAAGGATGAATATACCCAGGATGTATGTGACCGTCCAAACAGAATCTAATATTTACCGCTTTGCGTTGTACAGAAACAGTTTTATTTTCAAACCACACTGGAGGAAATTATAGATAATTACATATTTCCCGTAGATACTAAGCTAATATCACAAACGCAAAAAGAAAACACAGACCGAATGCATAAGGAAAGTTATTTGATTATGTAAAAAAAAAATAAAAAAGTTGAAAGTGGATAGCAACTTTGGCACTCTTTTCCAACAATTGAGTTTTGATGGGGATGTTCAAATGTTTCCATCATTCTCTCATTGCATCATTTCCTCATTTCTGGCTGAGGAGACATAGGCAGCTCATCCAAGGAGTGAGCCACACAAGAAAAACACACTTTTTCTTTCTTAACTACCAGATGACTTTGAGGGACTGCTAAAAGCAACGTGGACAGACACAGTCATGATGAAAATAATTGTTTTTAATATTATTTCTTCATCCAGGCCCAGATTGCTCAAGCTGTTTGTTATGTTTTATTCAGTCCTTAACCCCCAAAAGATGGCAAATTTCTGCTCCCTTAACTGTGATTTCCTCTTTTTGATGGTCTGTTACTTTGTCTGGTTTCAGTTTAACTCATTACTCAGACTTTCCCTTTCTAAACCTTTTCGAGTAGGTGGACACATTCTGCTATTGCGAAATAACTATTTAACACAGGTGCAGGATTGTAATAAACTTCAAAAATGTTTAAGCCTTAAACCTTCTATGATGCTAGCGAATGCAAATGCTTCTTGAAAAAAAGAAGAAATGTTTTAAGAAAGTTTTCATTGATTAATTAGTAGATTTTTAATTCTACATAAAAAATGATGAATCCACAAGCAGTTATCTTTTCTTATGAATATTTTATATCACCACCAAAGCTGGGCTTTGAATGACTAATGATTATTATTTTTATTTTCTTATTTTTCTTGGTTTTGAGGTGGAACTATTATTGTGTTATGACTTATTCTAGGCAAAAAGGTTAATCTCCTGTTAGACTTTAGCAGATTTCCTCACGTTATCTTTATAAAATTGTCTCTAGACGAAGAGAGAAACATAATATAGTTTTCCATTTTGGGTCAATTAAGTTGAATTTCCACAAAAAGAAGAAACACAATAACCACACAAGGTTTAGCTGCTGCTTATTTCAAAGTTAAGTTGAACTGAGTCATCGTACTTGATGTCTAATATCAGGATATAAAAATAAACTCTTCAGCCAGATTTAGATTAATTTTAGCCTTGACAGCCTTTTCACCAATAAATGTTTATTTGTAAATTAAGCAGCTTTAAACCACCACACTCCCACCACAGCGCTTAGGTAATCATGTCTTTGTTCTTTATTTTTTATTACTTAGTTCAACATTTTTCAGTGTAGCTTTGATTAAACGCTTCTGTGGTACAAACACTTTCCCACTGCAGACATTTAATGAAGGTCACCATAAATGATCTACATCTGCTGTGGAGGTTAGGCTATTTATGAGGCTTCTTCAGGACTATTTTTAAATGGCTACAAATGAAAAGGGTCTATTTTCCTCTTACTCACTTTCTTTCTTTCTGTCTTGTACTTAAAGATCCCCTTTGCCTGTATAGGACGCCTTTGTTTTATGTCTATATTTTTATCGTATGTGAATGTCAAGTATTCCCTTTCATCCTTGTTTGGAGTTCAAGACAATGAGGATATCCCAAATATTTTTTTTTTCTATTCGCATGTTTGATTGCAGGAAATAACCCATAAAAGTTATTTTAAGACAGCGTGGAGTCTGGGTTTCACGTTTGTATTTGCTGATTAATGGACAGGGACGAACTTCCAAGCTGTTTGCAAAGGTAAATCATCCTCTCCACCCCATGTTGCCTTTTATTCAGTGCCTTAGATTTCCATGTCTTGGAAAACTGGGAATGTACACCAACATACATCCTGTCCCACCCTACAAAATTTGATTTCCCTTGAGGACAAGATGAAAACTTTTTAGCATATTGTAAAACAGTCGTATAGTATAAAACTCTGTATTGAACTTAATATGACAGTGACTTTAAGTTTATATTATATATAGAGAGCAAAATGCACGCAGTCCCTTGAAAAAGTATAAAACCCCATTGAACCTTTACATATTTTGTCAAATCATAGCTGCAAACTTTGGTGTACTTTATTTGGATTTCATGTGACAGAACAAAGTAGAGTGTAACAAAGATCTGAAGTGTGTTGTGTGCATTTAAATCGTCTTTACTCTAATACATCTGAATAAAAACGTCTGTAACCAGTTGCTTTCATAAGTCACTATTTACATGAATACATTTCTCTTCTGCGTGATAAATGTTAGTTAACGTACAGCTGCTCTATAAAATTTTCAGAAGTTCACATTAGTGGACAATGAAGACCAAGGAACATGGTTCAGCACAGGGACAAAGTTTTGCAGAAGTTTAGAGCAGAGTAAGGTTATAAAATCATCTTCTGAACATCTCGCGGAGATCTATTTAATACAGAGTGTGGCACAGATGAAAATCAACCAAGGCATGACTATTCCACCTTACAAGCCAGGCAAGGACAGTGTTATTTCCAAGAACCAGCCAAGAATTTCATGCTAACTCTGGAGGGGCTGCAGAGATATACTAGCGACTAAGAGTTGACGGAAAAACAGGCAGAGTTTAATACAGGGCCATTTTGGAAGAAAAGCTCTGTAGAGGATACAAAAGCCCTGAGACCAGGGCAGAGCTTAGTCTTCCAGTTGTATAGTGACCCTAAACGTACAGCCTGAGCTGCAACAGAGTGGTTTAAATCAAAGGATATTCATGTGTTAGAACGTCCCAGTCAAAGTACAGACCTAAATGCAACTGATAGTCTGTGGTAAGAACTGAAGAACTATTTCACAAAAACAAAAAGAAACAAAACAAAACTATGCAACAACTGAACCATCTAAACTGTGCGAAACGTTTCCCCAAAAACGTTATTCAATCTCTCACAGATGATAAGAAATCGTGACTTACCCTTGGCCCAATGTCTCCTTGGTCGCCCTGATAGAAAAACAGGAAAATAACAATTGTCAGTAGTTCTCAGAATTGTAAATGTACAAACGGCTAATAACTCAAGGGCTACTGTGGTGCCGCAATGACAGACAAGCTTACTTAAAATAGTGTTTATAGGAAGGAAGCAACTCAAGGGTCATCGGTCCAAACCACAATGGGATGTAAACATTTACTGGATAAGTCACTTGGACAGGATGAGATCGGGGTAGTAACAGTGGGTGTGTGCAGGGTGAGGATTGTTTTTTGATGAGGGCCGAAAGGTCACGCTCTCATTATTGAGCAGCTATTGCGACGACACAAAGGAAAGCTGTTTTCTTTTTTTATTTAAAAAAACATTCACATCATCTGTCTGCTGGAGAGAACGCACGTGGATGAGTCCGGCCCTGATGGATCCTGTTCTGCTTATCTGCAGCTCTGCCACTTGAGGGCAAAAGAAAAGCGCTTCAGCACGAGCGCGGGCATCGATAAGCACATGCCAACCTCAAACCGCTAGAAACTTCCAACGTCTTCAGCTGGAAGGAGAGCGGGAAAACATCTGGCTATCACCGAGCTTCACGGAAGGTCTGCAAACCTTCTCGGTGAAGTATATGTTATCTTTTTCCTCATTTAGTCAGTGAACGGCAAAGACTTGAAAGTCTCCAGAGCAATCAAGAGGCTACATGCGTCTCTGTGGCTTTGCAAACAAAATAATGTTAGTGCCCAGCTAAGCACAGCTGGAACTCTAGTTGGAGCATACCTTCTCTCCCTTGGGTCCGGGCAGGCCCTGCAGGAGAGATAAGAGAGATAATCAGAGACAGTTGGGGAAAATAAATCAGTGACGCACCGTAGCGCATTGCGTCTTCTACGTGGCGTAGGCAGAGGGTATTAAATCAAGCAATAAGACAACACGGCGACACCGCTTAATTATGCGTGTCACGGAGATCGCTTAATCCCGACCCGCTTTCTGCTGAATGTAATTCCTTGTTTGAAGTAAAAAAAAAAAAAAAAACATCTTTCAAGTATGTATGCAGGAGTTAAAAAATGTGGTGAGAGATGAAGCTGAAAAGCAAAGATGTTCCTTTTGTTCCTACATCAGTCTTTTTGACAGATGGGAACTTTGAAGATGTTGTCGCGCGGGGAGTCCATGGATTTTTGTGTTCGGCTCTGTGGGTTTTGTTGTGTCTTTGGGGTTGAATGTCCCCAAACACTAACAGAAAACATGAAGCTTTAGTGTTCCTAGGCTGTATATCAGATAAAGATACACAGTCCTGCTTTGTGTTGGACGTTTTGACATAACATTTATAAACGGTGGGCAAACAGATGAGATTAGTTTGCTGGCCGCCTTTCTGTCCCCGTCTGTCCACTGTGCACAAGTGGCACAAGGACGTCACATGTGGTGGCACCACAAACGGAAAAGCGCCACGGTGACAGAAGAACAAAAAGATGGAAATCAGCCAACCTCGACAGGCCCTCCAAACGTAGTCGTGCTCCTTGGACCTCTTCATATTTTGTCATGTTACCACCCCAAACTTCAGTGTACTTTATTGGGATTTTATGTGATGGGCCAAGACAAAGTGGAGCATAAGCATCCAGTGGAACCAATTGTCTTCAGAAGACACTGCGTTACTAAAAAGAAGTAAGAGTAATAGAGTCCAGCTGTGGGTCCCTATAAATCTAGTTGCTTTGTGACGGACTTGGATGGTAAATGGGTCACGTTTTTTATAGAGCTTTTTCAAGTCAGAGGACTCCAAAACTCTTTACACAACAATCAGTCACTCATCCATTCAATCACACACTGATCGCGGTGCGTTACATTGTAGCCGCAGCTGCCCCCCGGGGGCAAACTAACAGAAGCAAGGCTTCCCATTCAATCAGCGCCATCGGGCATGCCGACCACCAGCAGCAGGCGATGCTGCTGGTCCAAGGACACGACAACTGAAACGGACGTAGCGGGGGACTGAACTGGCTACCAACCCGTTACAGGACAAACCTTGAGCCACCGTTGCTCCACAAGATCAGAGGCTTATAGAGCTGATTACTAAACCAAACGCAACAAAAAGGCCCGGGAACACAGCGGACAGGTCAGGAATAGAGGGATGGCTCTGATGTGGCGAGACCTGAAAACCGATGTTCACAGACGCACTTGTATCCATTCTGACAGTGCAAGAGAGATTTTTCAGTGAATAATGGGGCAGGAATTTCAGCCTCCAGATGTACAAAGCTGGTAGAAACATACTACAAAGGAGCTGACGCTGTCATCGCAGCAACAGGTAGTTCCACACAGTATCGATTCAGACGACCTGAACATAAAAATGCAAGCCAAATGCATTTGGCTGATCTTTTTTTCTTTTTTATTAGTAAAGACTTCTGAAACCCTTTCTTCATCACAATTATGCATGACTTTATTCAATAATCACTGAAGAATATGAAAGCAATAGAACAAATATATAGAGAGATATTTAGAGAATAAGAAATCAATGTTCTATCTGAAATGTTTCAAGACATTTTGCTCCATTTTGTTTTGTTTCATAACATAAAATCTCAACATTAAAGTGTGTGTGGCAAAATGTGAAAAGGTCCAAAGGATGTGAGGGTATTAAAGCGCTTTGTTTTGACCCCGGGGACTTAAAAGTGACGCCACAGTTCAGATCATAGTTTGTCTTTCTAAACTTTTTCCATTCATTGTTTGACTAACCTTATGTTGGACTTAGCACTATGTCCCCTCTGGCTGCTTTGTTGAGCCTTTTGACTGTAACTTTTTATTTTTTTTTTCCACCTTCAGACGGGGCTTTAAATTTTACCCCTGTCTTCGTTTTTCTTTGAGCCAAATATTTTGTTTGGACAGGAGCTCCTATTGTTTTATGGAGGACAACTTTGACAAAGTGGGCAGAGTGGAGAGGCAGCCATTGCTGCCTTTCTCCAACAGTGCCTCTGTACTTTAGGTCGAGGTGAAAGCAGGAGGAAAGTTGTGTGATTTTACAAAAATGTACTTGACAGATAACGATCTCCATTTAAGAGTTTTGTCGTACTGGAACTTTCTGCTAACAAATCAGTCATATTATACTTGAGCTTTTCTTCCTGCCTCCTCTTGTTTTTAGCAGGGCGCTCCGTGAATTCAGAAGCGACCCAGGCCAGGAGGTCTACACCTCTCCCGCCGTGGTTTTACGACACACCATTGGTGATGGAGGAGATTCCTATTAAATGACAGACTGAACTTTAAGTCTGTTTTAACAGGAAGCAGGAGTTCAGTAATGTTTGGAAACTACTTAAAGGTCTCCAATTAGGCTTTCGGATGTCAGGGAATGATCCGTTCTAGTTGCATGCAAAGGAAAGATGTTTCCTATGCAAAGCAGGTGCTGCAAATATCATTTAGATGTTACTTAAAGAAATCCAGGGAACAAATAAATAAATAAGATAAAAGGGCTGGCAAGGCGCTGGCGGAGGTCAGCCAGAGGAGGAGCAGAGGACATCGTAATGACTTTTTAAAGAGCCTCTGTTTGAGGCTGTAAACACCATTCTGGCTCCTTCTTTCCCACCGGTGTGTAACCCATTCGCTATGCTTTGCCCGTTTACACGCCACACCTGGGTGTGCCTCGGAGCGCGCGGCGTTTCACGGAAAGGTTGATGAATGGGAGGGCAGAGGGGATTTCTGAATTAGCTTCACTTGATCCATGACTCCCTCGTGACTGTGAGCTCTGGGACGACTTAAGATGTGGAACAGCGATGAAAATAGCTACCATGTTTTCTTTTTTAATAGGAACAGTAAAAATGATTGATGCGCTACACAAAACCCACCTGTCTCCCAGGCAAAGTACCCATCTCGAGTCCCAGTTAACAAAGTCTGTACGTAGGAACGTCTTTATGCTAACTGATGGGTGTAATTAAAGAGCTAAACAGATGTGTGAGCACGTACCTGACTTCCTTTGAGACCCGGTAAGCCCTAAAATGAGAAAAAAAAAACAAAACAAAGAATTTTAGTGTAAAATCGGATCCTTAGAAAAGATCGCAAAAAATCTGTGTACCAGAGTACTTACTGGTTTGCCATCCAAGCCGAGAGGCCCCTGTTGGAGGGAATAAAAGACAATCATGAATAAAATAAAAATAAATGCACCGCATCTAGAAGTGTTGGGAACATCACTGTGATAGTTTTTGTAAAGAACATTTATGTCTAATGAACCTTTTCTGCCTGAGTTACAAAACGGTAACTTTGGAAAAATCTGAGGCTTTTCTTTTCGCTAGAATCTTTTTTTTAAACCCAGTTGTTGCTTAAATATAACAGATTAGAGAGGAAGCAAAGTTTTGGATTTTGTGAGACCAATAAAACATTAAAATTCTAATAATTTCCAAAGACAACGTCCCTGAATCTCTGTTTTTGTTCTTCGTTTTGAATATAACTTTACATGAAAAGCAGGCCAGTGAAAACTTTTCAACCACATTTAGACTCTGTTTCATCTGAAGGCCAAGTTGCCTCCATGTTTTATCTAAAGGTATAGAAGAATTTGGTCCCATCAGCCACAGAGCAGAAATGTCCATGTTTGCATTCTCCATCCCATACAAGTGGAAAATGGGTTTCCAAAATAAAAGAAGCCAAAAAAGATACACGTTCAACCACTGCAACATACAATATTAATATGTTCATTTCAGTCACAATGACAATCATTTAACAAAAGGATCTGCGAATCAGATTAAATATAAAAATATATGCATGAAGTAGAATAAATAAATATGGAATAAATTCCAAAATTAGCAAGGAGTTAGAAGAAGATAGCCTTTAACCGTTAGCTACCTTAAGGCTAATATTTAGTTATTTGTAGATAGCACTGCTAGCACTAGTCTGCTAAGGCAAGATTTTCATGCCTTTATCTTTAATGGGCAGACATGAGATAGACATCTTTTCATCGAACTCTCAGCAAGAGAGTAAGGCATAAATGTTTTCTTCTAATGACCAGCTTCAAAGACATCAAATGAGTCCTCCGTGGATGAAGAATGTCATTATTACACTGAAAAGACACTATTTGCTTTAAATCCTCAGACCAGACAGGCCATCTTAAAAATACCCTGCAGCCAGCTGTTACTGATTAGTTTCTCATAATGTTTGAGTCTTCTGTTCTTATCTAGACAATGGGAATTATTTTTGTCCTAAGAGCAACAATGAACATCATTTGCAAATAAAATAAAGAGAGAACAGCAAAAAGAGGATTTGTAGATAGCAGAAAGAGTTTGGAAGGAAAGAATGAAACAATATTGATGCATATCCTGCCCCAGTTTGTGTGCGTGCACCGCTTTTGGAAATTTCAAAATCAAATCCGATAGCTTGTTGGATGTATGCAGTAATCCCCCCCCCATCTGCTGTGTGGGTTTGTGACGATGAGATAAACCTAAAAGGCGGTTTGTGAGACCTTTCTGAAGCCGAAGTGCTGAAGCAGCAGTTGGCTCTGCAGACTTTGTTTACATCAATGAAGCACAGCCGAGCAGTCGTTGAACCTCCTCCTCAGAACAGCCCTCAGTTCAAATACGTTCAGTTCAGGTCCTTACTTAAACACAAAGGAACACTTGGCTCTGGAATCAAACTTTCCAAAAACACTTAAATGTGATGTATGTGGTAAAGGCTAATGTTGACTTCCTCCTTAACGACCGTACTCCGTGTTAAGCTAACAGTTTTTACAGGGTCCCCTGAGTGGCGGGTCGGTGGACCCCTTCACAGTCCTGGTGGCTTTGGAGACTAAAAGCTGTCATTAACACTCGGCCTGTCTGGCCTTTTGCTGTTTTGCCTCTTCTGTGGGCCATCTGGCCTCAGGTCCTGCTGTCGAAAACTCAGCATTGTCATTACTTGATGGACGAGCAGTTGACGCAGAAAGATGGAGGCTACATATGAAGAGTTTACGCACCATGTTTGATGTTGCGGCTGCAAAAAAGATTACATTTTCAAACATTTGAAGACATATATTAAGAGGATAGCGGAAACCTTTTGAGGCAATAATGTTCCCTTGAACGTTCTGGCTGAAACCAGCCAAAACAGTAAGGAAGTGATGATTTTTTATTTGTACAACCCCTCACTGCTTTCAGCCCACGACAAGTTGTAGTTTTGCCACTCTATTAAAAAGCAGCATGCTGAGTTTACCATGTCACGAATCGGAGAAATGAGATGAGGCCACAGACGTCCCGCTGAGTCTTCCCTGCTATCGGGGTCCAGATCTCTGGACCCCGTGCCTTGTGGTGCACATCCGCCCGCGCGTATGTGGCGCTATCCCTGCATCTGGGAGCATTTACTGTGGCGCAGCTCCTTCAATAATCGTCAGGATGAGTAGATGAGACAAATGCTGTGAGGTCATCTGCTGCTGCAGAGTCTGAACCCGGTCAAAAAGAGACTGATTTATGGATGCTTACAAGTGGCCATAAATTGCTTGCAAGTCCTGGTAGTCTGTGTCTTTGCTTTTGAAGGTGCGTGTGAAAGTTTTACTCGCCATTATAAAACCCAATATGAATGCCGGGTTCCTACGACCTCCATAGTAGTGATGGAGACTGAAACGTAGAGCTTCTTCTGTCCTCACAATTTCAGGGGACGATATCTAAACTAACAGTGCAACGGCTGATAAATGCCTTCTATGGAAAAATGGCAATCAATTTGGACAGTTCAAGGCAATTTGGGAGAAGAAAAATAATATAAAATGCCTAACAAAAATATTAATAACCCTGGAACTTTTTTTTTTTACAACAATCCACTTTGAAGTTATTTTGTGACGGACTAACACAAAGTAGTGAATAGCTATGAAGTGGATGACTGATGGTTTTCATTATTTTTACAGGTGAAAACCTGAAGAGCGTGCGGTCCCTTTGTCTTTAGCTCACATGAGTCAGCACTTTGTAGCAACACCTCCCGTTGACGTTACGGCTGCGCGTCTTTTAGTAAATGGCTCCACCAACTTTAAACATCCAGAACCCGAGAATATTGCCGCTCATTTTAAAGACAGATCAAGTCCGATCAAACTGGACTGGGAACATCTGCAAACATCATTTTTTTCAAATCTTGCCAAATATTCTGAAATTTGACTAGGCCTTAGCCATTCTAAACACGAATTTGGTTTAATCTAAACCACTCTATTGTGTGTCTGGCAGTATCTATTTTCCTATCCACTCTGATAATCTTCCCTGTCGCTCATGTTCAGGGTGTTAGCTTTTTTTTCCACACATAACACTTTGGGTGAAACCCTTAAAGTTCATCTTTGGTAACTTTTGGTGCATCACCTGAATCTATTTATTATTATAAACAATAATAATAAAGAAACACACATACATGTATTTAGTTTTCTTTCACTTTCACTTCACGTCCATCTTACACTGTACATTAAACGCATCAAAGTCTACTCTATACCGTGGCAGAATGTGAAAGAAGCGATATGAAATTCTTTACAAGGCATTGTGAATACCACAGAAGCCAAGGAAAGATTTTCCCTCTGTGATGGAAAAATAATATATTATCTGTGTTGAATGTTTGCGAAGCTGCAACATACCTACGAGGGAGACAGACAAAGAGTCTACGCATAGAAAAGCTGGAATTCAAATAAAATCAGGCTGAACTAACAGGAAGAAAGCAAACAAAAAAATATGGGGGGGGTGCGGTGAGGTTTTGTGGGTCGGAATTAGGAGCTGCTAGTAAAAACCTCTTCATCTCGCACCACAAAAGGATCTGAGAGCCAAATACAGAATGGGAGAGAGGCACAATGAAAGGAAAAAACTGGGAGAAAAGAAAAGAAAAACAGTGAGTGATAATAACCACTGAAACCTCAACTAGCTGTGGAGCAAAATAAAACAACGATTTCTTTTAGCGCATCTCTGATTGCGCTGTCTGCCGACATCTTGCTCTACAGCAACCCTAGCCAGAACAAAATCACATATTTACACAAACATTACTGGTACAACTTGCCTGCAGGAGCTCACATGTGTGTATTTCTTTCTGTGCGAATGCAAAAACGCTGATTAATGCAGGTAGGTGTGTGCGATCACAGAGGATAAGGGCGTGGGGTGTCTCTGCTGGTTTTATTGTGTTCTTTGCGGCGCAGACTGGCGATTACCCAGTGGGGCGTAATTGTTGAGGATGCAGCTCGGAAAGCATGCTGTCTGCACATCAGCGCAGACGTCTCGGCTGGAAACACACATGGTAACATGTTGGGAACATTAGCTGTTAGCTTGATTTCGGTCATAAAAGTGAAGCTGATAAGGCTGATGAGTGGATCCCTCTTCCTCGAGGTGTTTTTTTTTTTTTTTTT